GATTACCACCAACCCTTCAAAAGAAAGAACAAACAAACATGATTACATTGGACAGAAATAGACAAGAAGAAGAACATTACAGGAAACCATCCATGGCTTAAAGACAAGATATGACAGCATCGGTCTCAAAACCAGTCTGACTGCAAAGTTTGATTTTTTTTTTTTTTTTGTCTTTTTTTTTTTTTTTTCCTTTTTTTTCTCAAAACAACAAAAGGCCTCAAATGAGATTCTTTTTGAACATGCAATGCTGATTCATTTGAACTCAGTTGTGCAATGGACTCATTTTACGGAATCCACATGACCGGTACCATCAATCATCCTTTTACAGTGCAGTTTGTTAATTTTCGTATTGATTTAAGAGCTTTCAGTGAGCGAAAAAATCTCTTTGAGCTTGCCCATCCACAAGGGATTTCATACAGGGATTGTGCGGCCAAAAAAAAAAAAGAAAAGAAATACAAGAAAAAGAAAAATGATCAAAGTATATCCGAATAAACCTCATGACAATGGGTCTATCCCAGCTTCAGCAGATAATAACAAAACAAAAGAGAGAAAATAAAGAGCCATTTACCAACATAAGTATAAAATCCCATTTTTTTTTAACATACTTCACTATACAAGAAATAACATCATTTCATCTTCTGTTTTTGATAAATTATTTCATAGGTTCCTTCTCTTAGTTTCACTGAAATATATTAACTATTCTTTTAATTTTTTTTTTTAAATGTTTGAACATGATCTATTGTACGGCCTATAAAGAAAGTTCAACAGAATTGAAAAATAAGCTATATTGTATGTACAGGAGTAACGCAGCTGTGTGGTCAGGAGAGCTGTGGCAGATTGGGTCAAGCTGGCAGGGGGTTCTGCTGGGTTCTACAATAATTGCTGTCTTGTTTCTCCCCTTCCCGCAGTCTCGGTCCTAACGATGTATACGTGGGTTCCACCATGTGTATTAAATGTTTGATTCCAAAATGATTTATGTACATGTGTTGAACAAACTGTTACCTGGAGTTTCATTTTGTAAAACTACCATCCTTAAATGTTGTAAAGCCAAAACTTTCACATCCAAAGAATTGGAAAAAGTGTCGTGGTGGCTGATGATTTTTTTTTTCTCTTGTCGCACTGTCAAGCGGTAAGCATGCAGATGGATGAACTCTACTGTCACTGTCATATCTGTTCATCAGCCCCAATTGGACTAATCCAATTACCGCACAGGCGATCTTTCTTCTGTCAGAAAAATCATGACATGTCGGTGTACACAGAATCTTAATTAACGGATCACTTCGGGGCTGTGGCTTAGGTTTGACACTAAGTCAAATACTCTCTAAGCCTCGGTCCGACGCTTAGGGTTGTAGGATGCATGTTCAGAGCCCAAACTTAAGGGGCTTACAAAGAACTAAAACTCTCCTAGATCCCTGCACTGCTGTGGATACATTTTATAGTGACATCATTGTCCCACAGAGTTGGGCTTCTCAACACAAGCTGCTATACAACCTCCCTCTGTTTTTGTATTTTGTAGGCTATTTACATTAAGGAATAAAAAAAGTCTTTGTCTTCATTACAGTCAGCCATGATGTTAACGGCACATCTCCAGCTATTCACTGTGCCTTGTTGGGTGGAAGATGGCATCTTTTTTGTTTGTTTGTTTGTTACTTGTCGGAACTGGATGATGATACTATAAATCCAAAGCACAATTTGGATGGTTCATCAGCCCTTCTGCTGGCTCAGCACTCCCCGCAATTGGATGCGATCTCACAGCACTGACCTCATATGTGCGATTCTGCTCGACCTCCCTCAGGATCAGGGGTAAGGCAAGGCTCTGAACCTCTCCACTAATCATGACATCATAGCGCCTGATGCCCTGAGTATTGGGAGTGATTTTGTGGAGTTTCAGTTTAGCACACAGCACCCCCACCACCCAGTGCCTATTTCCACCTCCACCTTTTTCCATACAAAATCCCATTTCCACAGCGAAACCCTCTCTGCTCAAAGTGAGATGACGGAAAAGCTCTCTCCCAAAGCAGCTATTAAATGAGAGGCATTAATTTCTTCCCTCCTGTCCAACAGGTTCCTTTAATTATCTCTCCACTTTCAGTCAATTACATTTCACTTCCTTTCCTTGACAATCACTGCTATTTTAGGGTGAGTGTTATGCACCCAGGGGGTTGGAGACTTGTAGACATGCTCTAGCAGTTCTTGGCTCGGCCCACCATTGGCTGGAGCCCTCTAAGGGTACATGCTCCTCTGGAGGACTGACCTTATGAGCGGTGGTGTAGTGGCAAAGGAGGAAATGGGTATATTGCGCATATACCCCCCGATTACTCATTTAGGGTTGAAGTGGGTACATGCATCAGTAGCCAGGAAGCAGATGGTCTTAATGCTAAAAGTAAGAGAACTGGCTATACTTCAAACTAAATCACTGATTGTGAGATGTTAATAAAAGCAATATGACCACAGAGAAGAGAAACTATATGCTCTTGGGGGTTTGGATATACTATTTGACATTGCCTTGTAGGTTTGCCTGGCATGCTAAATGCTACACACTCACAATTAATTAAATTCATACTAATTCCTTTAGGCTAAAATGCCAAATTACATTTTCTCTTTGTAAATTAGAGGACAAAAATCAAATAGCATTTTGGCAGCAGCTTGGTGAGTGCCTGCTGGGTTGACATTTGTCATTGCTCTTAGAGGTGAAACATGGCCTGGACTCAAAACCAGATCAGACAGACAAAGGCTCTTGTCAATAAATGGGGAAATGGAAAGATCTGAAAGCAATCTTTTCTTGTTTCAGTAGTTCCGGAGCATGTTTCATAGCTATTTCTGTTTTTAATGCACGTCACTTCAGTAACAACCTCCCCCGGGGTGTAAAAGTAATAACAGCACCCTTGTTAAAAGTGTTGAAGTGCTGATTTCACATTGCCTAATTTAGCCCTGGCATAGCAGAGATGCTACATGAACACTGCACCGTTAGCCAAGCAGACAGCAGGATACTAGGCTAGGCTGGGTTTTGGCTCACTAGGGACTCAACCTGCCATTAGCTGTGGGAACTAGTACAGCAGCTGACATAAGACAAGGTTTATGTTCAGCCCGACAGAGCCTCACTCACAGAACGTATTCTAAAGATGGCCGAGACAAGCACAGGAAATTTCATTGCTCATGGAACATTAGATTTCCCATCGATTAGTTCAGCTTCACATGAATAATGAGCACAAACGGTTTGCAGAACATGGCTTTGTTTTGACCTACTTCACTTCACTACAATTCATAGCTTCCTGCATTTCCACTTTATGTCCTATCAAGGGCTGAGGATAACTGGGTTTTTACCCTACTTTTATTTGAAAGCAATTTATTTCAAAAAGCTGTCGTTTTGATGGGCATCATTTTGAATCTGAACTACTGTGCTTCACAAATATTCTTTCAGTGTTGAACAATACTGTGCTTTGCAGGTGTCCCAGCAGGGATACAAGCTGGAAAAAGAAAGTGTGGAGCAAGTTATTTTGTAAAAAATTGCGGCATCTGAAGAGATGGTTGAGACACAATTACATTTTGAAAGAAAAAGCACAATGACACAGGCCTCAGTGCAGCTGCTTCTACAGAATTGAGGATTTCCAGCAAAAATTGTTGGGTTCGACCCAGTTTTAAGCAACTTTTGTTGCAACGCTTGTGCTGAAGGCAAAAGAAAATGATTTCATACATTTTATTATCCACCTTTCTCTTTTAGGTTTTGCCTAAAATGTCAATCTACTTTGCAATATTAACAGCTTGCTATGATATGGAAGGTTTTATTCCACATCCTCCATCGCCTCTTCGGGTAAATTTGACGGTATTATTGGTGCCAGGTCAGCTGTCAGCAGCCTTGCCAGGGAGTAGGCACAAACATAATTCTCTCTAATCTTCCTTCTGTCATCCATGTGCATGCAGGGGACCATCTCTCCCGTCATTTGGTCCAAGTGATTATCCCGGTGATTTTTCACTTGGTTGCTGCTAATGTATAGAGGCTGGTGATTACAGTGTGATTAGAGGGAAAGGTGAAATAGCATGTCTAATACGGTGCAGGAGATAATTGAAGGGTAGTGAGCGCAGACATTAGCCAGGTTTGAAAATGCTGTTCCAAGGGGAGAGCTGCTGAACAGTTGGGCTGAGGTTTGGAAGGGCATGGCTGCTCTTAGGACGGGGGGGGGGGGGGGGGGGGGGGGGGTACATGGCACGCTGTTATCAAATCAAGACCTTCTGCTTATTTAAATGACAAAGTAATACATTGAAGATTCTGGGATCTGCTGGCAGTCCCTCCTTCAGTGACTTGGAATGGATTTGGAATAGAAAGCTGGAGAAAGAGGGAGGGAACAGCAAGGAGGAGAGTCTCAGTAGTAAACAGGAACTGGTTGGACCGGAGCCTAAGGTACCAGACTCCAGTCCTGTTTGAACCCTTTAATCCTGTTCTTTGAGAGCATGTAGCACCGATACAGTGTTTGTCACCAGGAGCTTGATTACAGCTTCTAATTTTCTGGATTAAGTCGCTGGGCATCCGTTTAAAGGATCTTGATGTCATGTTTGGTTGTTGACTTCCTCTCTTCACCTCCCTCTCTCCTCCTCGCCTAGCCATGCCTCTTACCACCAGCTGCCAGGGCTCAAAGGGCTGGTGTACGGATGTGAGCTGGTGTTCGACAGAGAAAATTGGGAAAGTGTTCAGAGTGACTGAAACAGCATCGCTCCTCCCTCTAGACTCATTCCAAACATATTGATCTGCTTTTAGAGAAGAGCCCACATCCAGAGCTCTAAAACAGTCAAAATAAAGGCTACAGGGCTCTAAATCAAGACCTGACGGTACTGGAGTGCTTTACTCTGTCCTGCCTGGCGTCGGTGTCAGAGAGGCTACAAGCGAGCTGAGTGATGGTTAAGAGTGACTGTTGGATCTAATTTAGATATAGTCTGTTTAAGCAGTACCCCCCCCCCCATAGGCTCTATGTATAATATATGAAGAAAGCAGGTCAGGGAACATGTTAATAGTGGAATTTACATTATATTTGACAGAGCTAAATGAGCTCTAAAAGCCTGCACTCCTTTGCCATCAATACAGTAAATCAGGTTTGTCTTCAGAGAAATGTGTCTTTGTACCTGCCAGGAGACAAGAGGCATTTTTTCTCAATCTGGAGTTTTGCAGCAGCTCCAGTGGACACACATATCCTTGGCATGTCACTCACTTAAGTCCTGTTTGTTTACAGCAGGCGTACTTTGTTTTTTGACAGAATTCCGTAACGCCATAAGGGCCATTTCATTTGTATGAGTTCATTCTGCTGGCAGTTTCAGTAGCTGTCACCTCACTCCTCCCTCGCTGTTGCCCTCATGACCATCCATTTGTCCATCTCTCTTATAGTAGAACCGTCACCCTTAAACAATTTGTGGCTTCATAATTCACACTCCTTGTTGCAATACAAAAGGTCAAGAAAAAAAAGAAAGAAAGAAAAAAACAAACAAACAAAAGACACCCCATGTCCATTTTGCTTGGTCTTTACAGTGGATTGTCGCTTGAACATAAAGGCCAGTGAGAAGCCTTAAACGTCTGCACCCTGTCCAGCACAGACATTTTAAGTTCTGTCTTTTTTTTTCTCTCTTGTCATTCTTTTTTTTTCTTCCAGAACAGTCTGTTCATAGCTGTCAGAGAGTGCGGTGACTTATACATCATGATGAGCGAGATATCCAGTGGCTGATACCTTAACATCCAAGAAAAAACAGAATCGTTGCGTACAGGGGCAGATGAATGTTTTCCTCGTCTCCCCCCTTTTGCCCCCTTTTCTTTACGACTTCAAGTATTTTTTTAAACAACAGCAAAAGTTAGCAAATCTACATTTTTTTTCTAATCTACTTTACTATTCTACAACCTGGTGCTAAATCAGCATCCAGAGCAAAAGATCAGCCCCTATACTACGATTCCATGTCTTTTTTTATACATTATTTCCATTTTCTTTTATTTGTACTTACAATAGGCCACTGGATATTGATTTAATGATTTTTTTGACTACGAGTAAATTGTAATACTTGCAGCTACAAGGTATGAGTTTTTAAATATATATTTATATATTTATATATTTATATTCTTTTAAAAAGCGTTTAGTCCTTTGGTCCCTATTTCCTAAGGAATGATGCATGTAAATTATCCTGGATTCTCCTCTTCTCGCCTCTTCTTCTTCTTCGTCCTCTTCTTCATCTTCTTCTCGTTTTCTTCTTTGATCCAGAGCTTGCCCTGTCACAGAGCACAACACCTGTGTAGGCACAAAAACCAAAATGGCAGCAGGCTGGTGTGTGTGTTTGTGTGTATGTGTGTATGTGTGTGTGTGCGTGCACACACATGTGTTTGCGTCAGTACTTGAGTTGGCATTTGCACGTATTTATACATGTACAAAGTAGATTTTTTTTTTCTTTTCGTTTTAGATTTTTTTCAGTGTAGCATCTTTAAATGTGTATGTTTGGTTTGTTATCTGTGTTTATGTGTGTTTATCCATATCCTGTGTCAGTATGCATGCTTTGAGCATAATGAGTCTATAAAGGTTTTTTTTTTCCCCATCATGTCTAAAAAACAGCAGCAAAAAGTTGGTCTCTGCAAAAAATTTTCTCCCACAGATGCCAAAGCAAAACAGGGAAAAAAGAGGCATTTGCGAAGAAGGAAAACAAACAAACAAACAAAAAAAGAAAACAACTCTGGGATTCCGCTCTCAGTCACCCAATCTTTTCAGCAGGTTTCCAGCAGGATCAAGGGACCACCCTTCCTTCATGATATGTAGCAGAGCAAGAAGTCTTTGTACTTTTACTGCACTTGTGGAAATAAGGTGTTGTGGCCCTTCATCCTGTGACACAGAGAGAGGGAGAGACAGAAAGAGAGGGGAGAATAAGGAGAGTGGATTCAGTGAGGCTGCGGCAAACATGCTCAGGGTTGCTGGCTCCTGGTTATCACACAGACTGACAGGCACAGCCAACAGCATGAGAAACAGACGGGGAGGAGAAAAAAAAAAGAGGAGTGTGTCAATCAAAACCAGAAATAAGTGGGCTAGAGGTGGGGTGGGAGATTTGTGTTTTAACCATATGGAACAGACATCTACACTGTGACAGCGCTAATCCAAGGAAGGCCTAATTTAAACTGACTACATCTCTGCATGAAAAGAAAATACAGCTGAATGTTGCCTGAGATGTTGCTGTCATTCATCTTATTGTTAATTCATTACAAACAAACTACCAAAAGAACAAGAAGGAAACATAAAGAAAACAAGACAGTGCCAGTGTTAAAATAGTGTAATGATTATGACAGAAAAAACTGATGGTTGTCCAATGTGAAAAAAAAATTACACATTTGAAGAAATCGCCGCTAATTAGTATCCCATGAAAAACCAACCTAGCATCTCCCTCTGCTTTTGTGTTGACTTAAAATGCTGCACTGTCACTAAATGTGTCCGTGCTGCCGAGCTTTGGATATAAAAGATCTAGTTTACAGCCTATCATCCCTAATATGTTGTGAGCTGTGATGTGGGTGAAGAAAGGCTACGAAATCACAGCAAATCACTCTCCGGGAGCGAACATGAAAGAGACTGACTTTGTGACGGGAACACGCGTGCCCAGACGCTCTTTGTTCTACCTTTCCATTCCTGTAAATGAGCTTGTTACCATTTCATAATAGATCTGCTTTTTTAGATGTGAGAGCGGAGATTCTAGCTGATTTCTTGTGTGTGCCAAAGCAAGCCCAGCCATTAGAGGCATAAAGCACTAACAGTCCCGATTACAGATGCCCTCTTTTATAAGCCACTGGCGCAATATTCATTCACCACAGAGCAAAAGAAACACACAGTGGCTTTAAAATCTCTTTTTTTCCCCCAAGTAAAGAGCTTTTTTGAAAACATCACAAGTATTTCACCCTCCAACTTTGTCAGATAATAAAGAATTCATTTTCTTTTTGTCCCAGCATTATGCCCCCCCCCTGCACACTGCCACCTACTTAGATGGCTCCATAAAAGACACCTGGCAGTTAAGAGGCATAGTTGATGCCAGAAAGACCTTATCCCTCCCGGCTTGCCTGGCTAGACACCCCCCTGAGTTCATTGGATAGACTATGGGAGGGAGAGTCGCCTGCAGGGCTTCTGAAAGAATAGGCAGTACGAGTTCAATGAAAACGACTAACTCTTATCAGTGTTTGGCCTGGGGGGATAGAAACAAACTCACTTGCAAAGAAAGGACCTTTTTCACTGTGAATCTGTTTGCTGCCTTTTCTTTTTACAGATTGACGAACAATTATCTCAGATACAAGCCACAAAAACTTAATTTATCTGGTGCGTAATCCTAGCAAAGAACAACAGGCAGCAGCACATCACTCATCTGAGGTGTTGGTAGTTTGTTCTGCATCCTGCTTATACATCTATCTGTCTGTGCACTGTATGGCTGTGTGGTGGACCGATTTTGGCCATGAGGGTCTGCAGCGCTGCCTGCAGCTCTGCCATCGTGGCGTAATTGGTTTGCACCCTCATAAATAAATAAATGGGAAGTGATTCTCATGTTAGGCAAACAAAACAATCTTGCAGAAGTACTCCCTGTGCAGATGGAATCCACGGAGAAGTGGAGTGTCAACATTTGCCTGTGCTCTCCGCATGAACGGTGGAGAGTTAATTGGCTACACAAACATAGGGTCATCTTGGCCATCTCTCAACTAAACAGCTGTCGATCGGCGGGAGAAAAAGGTCCTTTTTTGCAACGATTCAGACTTTTCATTAAAAAGAAAAAAAAATCATAGTTTGCTGGAGGAAAAGAAAACACTTGATGTGAATGTGAAGAAATAGAGAAATAGAAAATACAGTACATCCATACACATGAACCCCACAAGAGAAAGTAAAACATCACAAGGGCACACGGTACAATAGCACAAAGGGTTAAAGGCCACTTCCAGTTATATTCAACCAACCAGTCAGCACGTCAGTTACATTATGTACAACAGGTACCAGCCAAGAAAGGCATCGTTTTACTGCACTCCACAAACTGCCAATATACAATATACAGTATATATAAATATATATATAAAAGGAGGGCAGAATATAAAGAGATAGAGTTTAGAGATATCAATCAACGCCACGTCATGCAACGCAGTCACAGTCCCACCACATGACGTCATCCAAAAGAAAATGACACCATGGGTTCAACTTACAGCTGTGGGAACTTGGCCCCATGACAGGTGTGGGGGGGGTGTGGCTATAGCGGAGAAAGGCCACCTCACACTGTGATTGGCCATGTCAGGTTGCCAGGTTGGTGGGGTGCAAAAGAAGGAAAGAAACAGTGGGATTTTCTTTTCCTTAAGTCAGAATTCAAAGCACCCTTTCCATATTTATACCACACTCTCACTTATTCTGCCTGACAAATCAAATGAGGTTATTATGGTTATTACCATAAAAACTGGAAGAAAAAAAAGAAAAGAATCGACAAGTAAAACAGAAATAACAAAACAAATAATCTTCAACACAACACAAAAAAGGGGGCCTTTTTCTTGTGCCTCAATGCAGTGGTGAAATATTCTCAGGCTGACAACATTTGCAGGTTAAAAGGTTGAATTGATGTTTTTATATTCACACAGATAACCCTTAAGGCAGAAATGCATATTTCAGAAACTTGTCCTGTCTACAGTAATTGGATTTGCCTTGCATTGTTTGCTATGAGGGTGGCCGTACAGTGAGTGCTTCAGCTTTTTTGCATTAAGTTTATCTTTAAGACACAGAACGCAATTTCAGAGTAGCAGGGCTCCTGAGACCAGCGGAAGAGAATGCTGTCTGATCGTGTTTTTAATTCAACTTCAAAGCGAAATCGTCAGTATTAGAGGAAAAAAAAAAAGGGGCGCCTCTGAAGTTATCTACATATTGAAGTTTTTACCTAAGGAACACACAAGAATTCGTCATTCAAGTTTCATCAAAGTTTTTCATCGTTATAATGCAGTTGGATTTAGAAAATTAAACAGTTACAGGTGAACTTTACTTATTCCAGTCTTTTGCTCAAGAACTCAGTGTACTATCGTTCACAATACAAGGCAATAAATGAAAAGAAAAATAAAACTTCTTAAAAGCAGATTGGTCAAATTTTTCAAATCCAACTTCTTTATATAAGATTCCTCACAATTTTGAAGAATCTATAAACCAGGAGCTGGCTTCAGAAACCCCACTAGGGTATTTTTTCTGTAATGTTTTCATGGGATTGCTCTTGGTTTTGGTCTATTGGTTTTCCTTAACTCAACAACAGAAGTGGTGTAATAACTGAAGAAAAACACAGAGATGGATTGAACCAGACCAGAGACGACGGAGGACATGAAAACACACACACACACTCACTTGCGCCGACACACGCACATACACACTTCCCGATAAAGTGACAGAATGTTATTGTAGGAAATGTCTGTACTTGGAGGCATTCTGAGTACATCTCAATGACTGTTCTGTCATTCAGTGCTGTTGCAGGATATTTTCCATTTGTCCCTCATTGATGTTCTAAATCAACCCCCCCCCCCCCCCCCCCCCCCCCCCCCCCTTCTCAGGGTGTCTGCTTTGAAAGCCTCTCTTCAATTAGCAGGACACGGCTCTATTCAAATGCTATCAGGCGAGAGATAAAGGGAGCATCTATCATTTGTATTGCATACCACCTTCCATTAATGCCATCTTGTGGCTTTTAAAGAGTCAAATCTAAAGCAAACAAATGGTATTACCATGCTTTTATTTATGGGGGAATATAATCCGGGTTTATGTTATTGTAATGAAAAGTTGTCTAGCCATTTGGGCGACGAGAGCATGCATCTATATTATTTTTGCACTGGCAGCTGCACTTTGTAACAGATGGGTGATGATTCTTTGAATCAAGCCTGACACTGTGAAATTAGTCTTTATTGAGGGATGGTGCCACTTTAAGTAAACCATTTTTTATTATTTTGTGTGAAAGCTCTGACTTTTTACGGCCCCAAATAAGGAACTGTAAGATATTGAAGATATCTGGTGGCAGATACGTTATCAGCACAAGTAAGTAAACATTTGCAAGATCTCTGGTTTGCACTGCTTTGGTAGTGCATAAAAACCGGTGTAATTAAAAAGTTAAAAACGGCACATAAATGTTGGCAGAGTCCACAACTATTCCATGATGGTAAGCTTGATTTCATGAGGTTATATTTTCACTTAAATTCGTTCCATATTAAATTAACTCTGGCATAGTTTGAAATTATTACTTGTGTACAGTTTTGAGACCTGCACAGCACGTTTCCAACATGTACATTTATAATGGCATTTTGTTATGTCCCTGTTTGCATTTAAAATGTTGCTTTATATGTTATTACACCTGGTAAAATCATGAGCAGCCAAAGCATCCTGTTCTGCTTTGCTACAAGGTCACAGTCAATTGAAATGAAATATGAGGACATGCACTCAGATAACCAGGTTAAATTACAATACTATGACATTCCTATGCTACGTTTTTACTATTTGGGAAAATTTCCCAACAGTTAGTGACAGAATACGAAAATGGATTATGCCTGTTTCAGCTGAGAGGAGATTAGTGAAGCATCACTTGAACTAACCAAACAGTCCTTACTGGGATTGGAGCTGTTCTCCACCATTATACAAGCCACTGCAGTTAGTAGGGTGAGTAAGTGCTTTTCCATTAAGCATCTTTTTGTTGATTTACTTTTGTGATTACAAACTTTTCTTTCAAGCATCCTGCATTTACTCATCAGGCTTTTCAGTGGTCTTGTAGGAAGTTGTTATACTATAAATCCACTCTGTATTATTGTACGTCTGCTTGATGAATTTTTTGAAAGTAAAGGTTAAGCTGAAAGGGCCTGTGGATTTTGCTAAGCAGCTGACAGAAACCTAATGCAGTGCTATTGTAGGAGAAAAATTATTGCTATCTGGTTTTTTGAATTTGTAGCTCAGCAACTTGCATCGATTCTCGACGCCATCCTCAGTAGATGGGTAATTATGCACAGCTGGGTATTGATGATGTCATCAATTTGCACTGAGCGTCCTGCGGGTACAAATTAGATTTCAAACCCCAGAAGAAACAAAAACAATTCAGCAGAGCAGGACAACCTGACAGAAATCTCAAGAGGCTGATTCTGTGAAGAGGGTCTGTGCAATCTAGAAACTAGTGCCCTGATGCTTTCACAGCTAATATGTTAAAAAAAAAAAAGAAATGAAAAAAGAACACCTGGACCTGCAAAAACACTAATTTCATGACACATCGGGGCTCATGGGGACAAAGTCAGATAATGACTACAGAATTAGAATTTTAACTGTTTCCCTAGTTGACCACATTTAATATTAAATGAAGTAATTCATGCATTTTGTAGTTTTATTAGTCTGTCATATTGATATATGTAAATTTTAACAGAGTTTTTTATGCAAATGATGGGGGAATGGGTTTCTACTGGTTGGGAGACTGGAGAGTTGGTGTAGCTCATTTTTCTCTTTGCCTACCTCACCCTACATTAATCACCTCCCTGGATACAGCAGTCCAGACACACACACAAAAAAAGCTGCCAATTGTTTTAACTGAGGTCAAAAATATATAAAATGTCAGTGGAATTAAAATTGTATTTTTATTTTATTAACTTCTAAGTCATTAATGGTTGAATACAACTCTTGTTCGTACAATTTTTTGTTATTTTTTGAATTGCAAATTGACAGTATTATTTGATGAATGCTTTAATAAAAGACCAAAAGGTCATAAAATAGTAAAAAAAAGATCCCATGTAGATTTGAAGTGAAAGAATAGTCAGTGTTTTTGCATAATGGTTAAATTGAGATTTGAGGTAATGCACTCAGTCATTCACATCTACTGCAGCAACAAGGACTGAACTATCCCAGTGAAGTGGACAGTTTGGTTTGAGAACAGACATGGCATGGCATAGAATGGCACGCTATATTATGGCATGGATGTTACTGTACCTGGGTATGGACAGCAGACGAGTCAGTAAGGTCGGTTGGCATCCTTTGGCCGCTTTAGCTGCACCTTCAGCCTCTTCATGCCTATCTGAAAGCCGTTCATGGCCTGGATAGCGGCTTGAGCACTGGACGGGTTATCAAAACTCACAAAGCCTGAGACAAGAGCACAGAATGGAAGAGAGATGGGGGGGGGCAGAGAAAAATGGGAAAATGGGGGGAAAAAAGGAACAACACACGATGGGAGAAGAATGGGGGAGAGATGAGAGAGAAATGGGAAGAAGAGAAAGGGAGAGGGAAAGAGACCGGGAGAAAAGACAGGCGAGATGAAAGAAGAAAGAGGGGGGAAGAAGACCCTTTTTAAGTCTCGACAATGACACAACAATAGCTCTTTGTTTTCTCTTTTCAGCAGATTAATTGAAAATCTTTGAATTAAAAAGATTACATAAAATACCACAAAGGCTAATAACAAAGATACTGAAAATCAAACGACGAAGAGCTATTAGAAACTTTGAGTTTAACTTGAACAGAGAACAAAAAAACATGAAAAGGTGTTCGAAGATTAGAGAGAAAAGAGGAGACTCATGTTGTGTGTGGATTTTTAGAGCAAAGTCTGTAAATGTTACCTGAGTGTTTGAGCCGTACAAGAGTGGCAGGGCTGCGTGTGTGTGTGTGTGCATTTTCATGTACGTGTGTGACTGAGCATGTATCTGAGTAAAGAGTAAAGGGCACAGGGGTCGTGACGAGATGCTAGGAGCAAGGTGTGTAGGACGGAGGTGCCTGCTGCTCTGAGTTATCACCTGGGTGTCGAGGCGGAATGAGCCCACAGCTTTCCACACCGGGACTCCTTGCCTGCTCTTATCAGACACCTCTGTGATTGACGGCCCGAATTTTCCGCCTGCCAGCTGATTTGATCACACCGCTATGGGTCCAATTTAATTTGGGGGGAGAGGGCAGGCTTTTGTCAGTGCGGGTGAGATAAGGCTGCTGCTTTTACAAACCCTTTAAACAAACTGAGCAGGGAAGGGCCTGTCAGTTGGCAGTGATCCCCCTCCCAATCCCACAAACACACACACACACACACACACACACACGCACACACACTATCCCGGCTTTAACGAATCTCCATACCTCACATTTACATCCACATGCCAAAGAGGTAATAGAACGCTGGGGCTCAAGGTACAGAGGTAGAGGACAAAGACTGCACTGCAAACTTTAACTGCTCAAATCCATGTACATTACAATAATCTAAAAGCAGAATAACATTTTTGAACGAGTTGCCAGTTTTAGCTGTTTTTCTCGAGACAAAGTAACTGGCTGATGTTTCATATCTTTGATGCAACACTGTGTGTGTGATGCTGTGCAGCTCAATACCCAGAGCGCTACTAGTATTTGAGGTATGGCTCTCACAGCAGCCATCCATATTAGCAGAATGTCTGTGTGCATTGTAATGTTATGCATTTTTTATAAAAATCACACGCAAAGCTGCAAACATTACAGGGTGACAATGGGGAAATACAAGTTGAGGACGAGGTTGGGCAGCTGAGAATGCTGCAGTATATACAGTAGGTCTCACGTTGCCCTAGAAAGAGTTACTATGTAGTGATGCTGTGCACTAATGCTGTTTGGTGCTATGAAAAACCTTTGCTGCTCTATTGCAGGGGTGCTTAGAGGTGAGGCCCTGATTCAGATGTCTCCTTCTCTGCTGCAACTACTATTGAACTCCCTTTGAACAAGCTGGTCAACCTGCAGGTTGAAGCTACCTTGTAGCCTAGTCAGAAGCCACGCCACAGATAGAGATGTCAATGTTTAACCACGGAGAATATTTTTGATCAGTTACGCATGTTGGTCTACAGGTTATTTTTGCCAGTCTTCAGTTTACTGTACTGTGCACCAAATGGGTCAGTGGGAGCTAGCTAGCGGCACTGCTTATTCGGCGATTACCGCTAGTTAACACTGTTCTAACCCAGTGCTGCTATGGTAGTATTATTCCCACCGTTCGGTCTCCCCCCAGGTTGCCCTGGTGAGTAAGCAGCTTAATTTTGAGCTGCAAACCCCCTTAAATGTTGTTAGCTATGTTATCACCGTTAACGCAATGAGCAGTGTCAGCACAGTTAGTGGTACTAACATAGTTAACAATGCTAAAGGGGTTTTGCATCTCAAATTGAAGCTGCTTATTCATAGGTGCTACCTGGGGGACTGGAGGGTGGCTACCAAGTTTCTGCAGCAGTGCTGTCCTGCGAGCAGGATGGCACCAGCGGTAATTGTGAATGAGCGGCGCCGCTAGCTAGCTCCTACCCAACACAAGTGGTGCGCAGAGCAGCCAAGGCTAAAGTTAGCTAACCAGTGGAGACTGGAGGGTGGGCAGTGGATGCTATGTTACCACACGTTAAAGCAGCTAGCCAGCTGTCTGTCAGCAAAACAAACAGGAAATATAATTAAAGGCAAGACATTTAGGCTACAGCACAAAACACTAAAATTCAAGTCAATGGAGTGCCAGACTAAAAGGAAATGCCTCTTGTATTTCACATCATTTAGCATTTTTTCTTTAAAAATGTACTGCTTATTTACTGGTAAGTGAGTGTTGGACTACCGAAAGCAAAATTCTCTGAGACTGACATCCCCCAGCCACAAAACTTTATAGTTGTAATAGATGTATATTCACTTATTTATTCTGATCATTATTTATGTTAGAAAATATATGGCATTTCATGACCATTTAAAGTGTCAAATTAACTGAGGATGGAAAATCTGTGCACAGTGAATATGTAAACATACAGATGAAATGAACATGCACACTCAACTTTCCCTGTTTGAAAGTAGAAAAAAACAAAAAAGCAAAACAAATATTAAAAAAGGCATATCGTGTTTTCAGAAGCCCTTTAGATAAACTGTATCTTCTTGTGTAGATTTTTTCTATCATATCTAAAAAGCAGTGCACGTCCTATTTATGGTGTGTGTGTGTGTGTGTGTGTGTGTGTGTGTTATTCCATTCTCAGAAGACCTTTTGAAATTCATTTTGAAGCTAAATCCAGCTAATTCCACTTAACAAGGTAAGCTTTGATCACTTTTAAAAGTCAATATTGAGTGACTAAACGCAGAGGATTAAGACTAATGTTATATCCATCGAGTCCCAGGTTAAATTAAACACAACCATATAGCTCCTCAACAGTGAGTGTCTATGGGGTGTACAAATTTGCCTTGGATGTTCAATGCGTTTCAGTGACTCAATAAAGCATCACTCACTAATAACACGGGCTATGTTAACGCCAGCATCACTTGGGCTTTCTTGTCATCCTAATTTTTTAAATTGTGTTGAGGTGAAATGTTTTATAAATCCCCAAGACTTTTCTTCATCTCACCTGCACAAGTGTTTAATATCACACCATGTCACACGTTCATATCCATTTTATCGCAAAGCAAATAAAAATACTAAACCAAACAGACATCTGTCTGAAATGACAGTGATGCATCCCTTAAGAGTATACTCCAAAACCTACTCCAGAAATACATCCTTTATAAGAACATGCTTCGAGTGCTCCTCCAGTGACCTTTTCATCATATTCGAATTTCCAAGCTTCTCTGTAAACACTCCATCTCAAAGCGTGATGTCTGGTTATCTCCTCCCCAAATCCCAAAATGGTGTTCACCTGTGCTGCAGAGAAATCAGGCCATGTATGCATAGATGTTTCTGTTGAAACTCACAATAATTATTCTGCAGCAGCAAGCATTTCTTCAGAAATACTTCATTCAAATGTATTGATAGCATTAACTAAAAATTTAACATTGTGTATGAAGTAGGACACTGTGATATGCTGCTTTTTAAAATATAGGTAGGTATAGATAGGTTAACTTTTACACCAACAAACCTGACATTTTTGCAGAGTGTATGCTGTATTTAGATGATGAATTCGAGGTTATGCTGTTTAGATTTTAATTAGAAAGCGAAGAAAAAAGTGATTTATCTAAATTAAAATATGTTGTAATGTTGAAAGGAAAGTAGGGAAAATTAAAATGCTGGTTATGTTAATGCTGACATACAGACTGGATTGTTTGTATGTTATATTTATTAATAATTAACTTGTCTTGCTCATTTTGCCCTATTTGAATTTAGCAGTTCTTTGGAAATTATCAGCTCAACTAACATTAAGGTTATTGGCTTTTGGTTAGTTTGAATAAAATGCATGTTTTCTTTACACCAGTGTACAGATGAACCTTTTTACCTTTTTTTACAATGGACAATTCACCTGTCCCTCCATCTATCCATTTTCCTACATCTGTACACTGTATATAGATATGCATACAATATATGTACACCTGTATGTGAGTCTACAGTCCCCATTAACCACATCATCAAGGCTAAACTCACGCATTTTTAAGATGAAGTGTTCCAAGTTCTTAGAGGCCTAATAACTTATCCCCCTTAATGCACAGCATCTTCTGCCTAATTTGTTAATGTCTTACAAAGGAGCCCCGGGGCTTCTTCTATAAAAAGGAGGGAGAAATGAGTGAAAAAAAAAATCCCCACAAAAGAATCATGGGTTAAATTGCTGTTTTTCAGCCAAGATCTTAATTACTAGCCATGGAAAATAAGCCGGTGAGACTGATGAGGTCACCGCCCCTTTGTCCTTCCCCCTTGTTGACTGACGGATAGTGATAGCAAGAGGCATATGTTTAGAGGAGAGCACACAAAGGGAGAGGGAGAGAGTCCTGAGATGGACAGAACGAGACAGGCGACGGGAGAGAGGAAGAGAAAGCCTCATAGACATGCCATGTTGAAGAGAAACTGAAAGAAAGCCAATGCTGGGAGTCTCTCCCTCTCTCTCTCTTTGCTTGTCTCCTGGGTGCTGCTGTCCAACTGAATCAACAGTAAGGCCCACACCAGTCTATTATTATCTCTTTAAGCCCATGGATTCCACCTGCACTGCCTCCACCCTGATGAACTGGTTTGCTGTGTGGGAGGCGCGAGAAGAGGAGGGGAGGTGTGGTGGGATGCTGCTGGGTTGCCCGGCTGGATTACTGGAGGGGGGGGGGGGTCTGGGAAAATGCTTTTCTCTTGGGTAAAGGAGTCTGGGATGGCACAGAAGGGGAGATGGATCTTGATTGTATTAGGAATGGTGTGATAGAGAGGGTGATGAATAGATGTGTGGAGTAAATAGCAATTGTGGAAAGATGTTTGGGTCAGTAGCTGTATGAGGGTTTCACGGTGGGTTCAGCCTGTGTTATTTTAGGCGATTATAGCGTCCAGCCTCTCACACCACACACAGCCCCAACATCTTGCCTGTGTGATGGAGCGAGGGAGCCAGAGTTTTTTCTCCCCCTTCTTTTCATCGTCGATTTTTGACTCACCAAAACATTTGCTCTGATTGGTCGCCCGGTCCACAAAGACTTTGGCGGAGATGACGTTGCCAAAAGGCAGGAACATTTGCATGAGCTCCGCATCTCCGAACTCCTGGGGCAGGTGATAAATAAACAGGTTGCAACCTTCTGGCCCTGGTGATGAGAGAAAGACAACAGGAGAGTTACATGGGAGCATAAACAGTGTGAGAGAGAGAGGCAGGCAGACCATAATAACACGGGTGGAAAAATGACTCAATAAAAGATTCAAGATAATAATCTAAGAAATGCAGGAGCCATGCAAACACCATGTTTTGATTGTATTACCTGTGGCACAAATATTAGTTGTGTTAAACCTAGTTATTGTGGAGTACACACACCGTAATATCATTTTTAAAATGTTATAAGGTCACACACGTTGTTTGGGCAGCTCTTTTTGTGGTTTCCATTTGAATCCCATTTCACGTAATAACTGTATCACATAGGTGGCACTTTAATAAATAATGATACACAGTTAAATTTGACTATTGTCTCAGAAAATGTGCAGGCAATTGCAGTGCGCATGTAAACAGCTGAAGAGGAGCAGAGATAGAAGTAAACGAGATAAACAGCCAGAGATAAAAACAGAGACAACAGGAGGAAGAAAAAAAACAGAGAGGTTGATTGGAAGAGAAAGATTAAAACGATTATTTTGAGAAAGAGAAACACTGAGACACAGAGGAGGAGAGAGAGGGGAGGAGGAGGTGGTGGAGGAGGGGGAGGAGGCAGAGCATAAGCCAAGTTTTTGTCCCAATTACTGTGTGACAGTAGGACTGTCTTCCAATCTCTCTCCATCCCTCCACACTCATCCACCCAGCTGCCACATATTGTACAGGCCAATCTGGATAAAGGGAGGAATGAACTAGAGAGAGACAGAGAGAGAAAGAGCGAAGCATGGACGGAGGGAGAGAGAGATGTGATGGACTCGGGGACAGTATGCTTGCAGCTGGCTGCCTGGCTAGCATTCTCTCCTGTCTCATTGCTCTGGGTGATAGCATGACGAGATGAGACTGGGGCTGGTGAGAAGGCTGATAAGAGGGCTGCAGTGGTGGCTGGCTGTACTGCTGCTATGCCTCGGCAAGATAGAGGACACACACACACACACACACACACACACACGCAGGTTGACAGACTGGGGATTTTTTTTAACCATTTAAGGCTGAATCTCAGCTCTGTCTGTTTAGGTTTATGTGTCTTAGAGAATTCATGCTTTGAAAACAAGTGGTTTGTTTGAAGGGAAGATATGTCTGCAGCTGGTGTGTAAGGATGGTTGCTAGTTTGTTTCAATACTCTTCACAAACATAACACTACTTTTTTCCCCCATTGGTTATGCATAAAAACCTTACCTCTGCCTTTTTGAGAAGAAGAAATGCAGGAGCCATGCAAACACTACAAATATTAGCTATATATACACACACATGTCTGTCCATTCGGCTGTGTGGAGAACTGTGGTAATCAGTGGTAATAGAGTTGTCACGATACTGGAATTTCTAACTTCAACACAATACCATGAACAATATAGAGCTTTAATACCACATTCTGTGCCGCAGGGAAAAATTGACATTGAGGGCATACAAGTTAACAATTTTATTAAAAGATAAATTCAAACAGGCTATACCATGACAACAACTTTGTGCTGGTACTGATGTATTGATACTCCAGTATTGAGAAAGTTGCTTTAAACATACATAATCGATATGTGTTGATACATCGATATTTTTGACACTAAGGTCTTGTTATCTTGGGAACCACTTTTACTTTGACCTAACCAAGAGTAGGCCCTATTGAAAATGCATGTTGATAAGTCGAACTGGCTGCATTATTCTATGACTTTACACACAGTTTAGGATGAGAAGGTACTTTGGTATGATTTACATATTCAGAATTTATTCTTATTTATTTTGGAGAGGGGAACTCCACCACTTTTTCCATATCAGTGTCTGTTGACAGGTCTTGTGGAGTAATACTACAAGTGTGAAAAAAGTTGTGTAGAGCATCAGATGAAGACAACAACTCTTAAAATAATGTGTGGAGTTAGAAAACACTGAGTTTACCGGACCTCTGTAGCCTGGTCCTCGTCTCTGCTTAAGACTAGCTAGGTTCAAGGATCCATAGAGCGCTACAGGGATGGCGTTTTTTTTGCAGGCCTATGCCGACGTTGGCGTCGCCCAGTTTCCCCATCAAAAAGCCAATGGGATTTTCACATTGGAGTTTGGATTATTGCAGGAAATAGGCTCTGTGGCAAACTAAAGTTTCGGAAACTTCCACATTTTGTTCTGCAATACCCCTTTTCCACCAACATTAATGTGGGTTTGCAGGGTTATTTTGGGCTGTAGTGAACCAAAGAAAATCTTGGTCGACTAAAGTCGCACATAATCTTCAACTAATCAATTAGTCGTGAGAAAAAAAAAAATCTGCACGTTATATTTTTACTTCTGCGGTGGTGTGTCTGTCACTCTGCAGTTACACCTCCAAAACGCTAGTCAGCAGTGGAGAACTCTGTTAAGTACTGTAAAGTTTAGTTGATTCAAAACACACATTAAACATGGCTTAGTAGAGACAGTTTGAAACACAAGTACGCAAATTGGCTTCACTATAAGCAAAACAACCGTCACACTAAACACGTTTTCCAAACAAATACAACATGCTAAAGTTATTAGCGCCAGCCTATGGCATTTTACATTGAATTAGCCTAGCGACAAGCGGCGATTTCCTCTGTTCATATTAAGCCAGGATAAATCCCGAAATATAAATCCCTAAAGGATAGATCACACACACGACTTAAAATGCTATTTTAGTGGAGGCTTTACTGTCTTCACAATATATTGTTTCTTATCTGTGAAACACAAGTAAATTCAAGCTTTGTTTCTACTGAGGGAAATGGTGTCAGTACACAGAAACTGACAGGAGGTCTGTGTCACCGCGATGCTGAGCGTTAGGGTGGGCTTTGAAAACACCCCCATTTTCACAGGTAACTTAGCCCCCCCACCCCACCCCCCCGCCACAGGAAATAATGGATTAATCCTGGAAAGCTATTGATGTAGCACTTTTTTCCTTATGAAAGTAACACAGTGATTGTTCAACCAATGAGAATTTGGTTGGATGAGAGCATAGTGACCAAAAAATCGACTAGTCGACCAGGAGACTACAGCCCTAGTTTTTTCAACATGGAAAAACTCACTAAAAAAGGCAATACACTTGTTTCCCATAGTGATCCAGGAATGACATTTTTCTGGGGGCCAACATAGAAGTTAGCCATGCCCTGTTTCCCTTGGCAAAAAGCCAAAGATGTTTTGTTCCTCAAGATAATCTTTAAAAATGAACATCTCTTGTATGAGTTTTGAAGCCTAAATGCAATTGCTTGGAGTAAAAAGCTAACGTTAGGCTATAACCAAACTATACCACGGTCCAATAAATGACCATCTCCACCTTAATGAGGCTGTAAAAACTGTGTTTGCCATGATGATGTTCTGTAGCAACTGCCTTTAAAAAAAAAAAAAAAAAAATCATGAGTGGGATATTTACTAACATATTTAATGTTGTAGAACAAAACCTTAAAGTCTCTTAAGCTTGTGTTAAACACAGACCTTACTTCAGGCACTTGAGACAAGGGAACGGGGAGTGCTAAAATGCTAACTTATTCCAGGACTCATTCCTGGGGCACTTTATTGCCAGCAGACTAGAGCCATGTACAGGCTCTGCAGCAGACAAGCATGCCTTTCTGTTTTTTATTTTACTGGTGTGTTTCGTTCAGCATCATGGAGAGGCCAGAAAACTGGTAAGTAAACAGTAGAAAGTAGCATATTGGCCAGTGAAATGTTACGGTGGTTACTTCTTAAATATATATCTGCTTGGGCAGAGACGGTCAGTATTTTGTGGTGGCACTGGCACATCACCGCATCTCACTGGCAAAGGGGTTAAACTTAGAGTGCTCACCCAGGTGTTGTACTTCCATCACTGCCGATCGGAGCTGGAGCCGACAAATACAGTAATAGTTCTTTCAGTACTCTATTAGCTGTTACTAGCATAATACCCCTGAATCTCTGACCAAGCTGTCGGGAGTTAGTTGCATTATGGGTAACGTCGGCACCAGGTTTCGACAGGCAAGAAGAATCATCCTGAAATTATTCTGTTCATACAATTACAGTCTGTGGTGATGTATTCAACCAAATGATCTTCAAATGGGTGTTATTATTGCCTACACTGAGGGAAGTCATAATGTTGGCATGGAGCTGGAGCAAAATTCTCTTTGCAGGAAAAACCCTGATACTTTATCTTGTTTTTACAATCCATGAGTTTGCTGCACTGACTGAAAGCCTTTTTAAAAAAACCTTTTTGGTTTATTCACAAGTATTTGACACCCCTGCATGACTTTGGGCATAACACATATTGACATTTGCTGTTTCAGTAAGTGTTGCTGTACAGTATTGAAATGTAACACAGAGCTGCGCTGCCTGAGATACTTCCCTGAAGTGAAAAGGACACATATTTTTAAAGAGTACAGTGAAGATTTGTTTGGTTGAAATAATATTTTTGGATTTGGGGGGATTTTCCTTTGTTGACACACACACATACAGACGCAGACTGATAGATTGTATTGTTGCAATTGTTAGCTTTCCGAGGGAGGTTGAAGCAGAGGCTTGACTGTGCCTGTGTATTCAGGTTTAGGTGTCTCTTGTTAAATGGCAGAGCTGCAGACTGTGGCAGTGGACTGAGACAGGCTGGGAGTGTAGCCAAAACCCAGAGGAGGCCAGAACTCAGACAGGCCACTGGCTCAACCAAGAATAGCTCTGTGTGTGTGTGTGTGTGTGTGTGTGTGTGTGTGTGGGAGAGAGAGAGACAGTATGTATGTCTGTGTGTGTGTGTGTATGCATTTCCACGACTTCCACAATTCTTGCTAATGGTGAAAATGTTCCGAGGTAGCAGTGAGAGATGAGATGTCCTTAACTGTGTGTTTTTGCTATGGTGTGAAATTATGCCTACATGTAAAGGGAATAAGCTGCTGGCATTTGAGGATAACTTTGAGTCTATCTCTACTTTATTCACACACTTCTGCACTGTGACCCTGGCATGCACTCACACACTGCTGAAAAAAAATGCAAACACATACAAACTTTTCCTCTTGGCAATGTTGGAGACACTCAGTTTCAGAGTTCCTATACTGAATATTCATGCCACTCTATGCTGTCTCATACAATCATATAGATGAATAATTGAGACTGACAAATGGCGTCAGAAAGAGTGATTTACCATCACAGTATATCCTATGCTTTATTACATCTGATGCTGTGGCATAAGAACGAACACTACACTAGGAATGGTAATAAATGATTATGCATGCAGCTAATTAATCTGATGAATATTTATAACCACTTAAACACATTGTAATGGACTGATTAAGCAGTCCAACGCTGCGAGTTTGAATTAGTGCAGTTTTTGAATAATGACAGAGTAACTTTCCATCTCACTGCTAATGTTCTTCTCTTTAAATGGGGAGCCTTTTTCTCACATTTTCCCCAGCCAGCTTTTTCCCTCCCTCGCTAATTCAAAGCAGCGCAGCTACATTAGAATGGAACATGGCAATTATCACCTTTTATCTTGGGTGGGCGCGCTTGCTCGCTCTTACCTTCCCTCTGTTGCTGGGGAATGATGGTTGGTTGCTGGGGGAACGCTTGGCTGATTGGCGCATAGGCGGCAGGGTAGGCTGCTGTTGCAAAGGGAGAACCAGAGTGGAATTTTTCACATCTCCATTTTCATATTTGACACAACAAAACTCAAATCATTATTCCATTGTTCATTTGCGTCCTCTAGACATTGCATAAATAAATTGCATTATGACTGGGAGCCTGGGCTCATTTGGCTGGTGGATCACTGCACAAAGAGTATGGCAAAAGGGGAGTGGAGTGCAGTTCAACTAAGCAGACACACAAAGAAAGAGAGGGAGACTTGCACCATGTTAATGAGAGCTGATGTCAGGCAGAAAGCAGTGGTTATGAGAGGTCTATGTCATCTCTCATGTAGGAGGCTATGGCAGGTTCAGATCCTCAGCTCTCAGTGTGCTTTTGGAATTAAGATTTTTTTTGTATGTGTGTGGGCGTATAATCAAGTCAACTGAAAATCCTTTTGCAATCCTAATGCAAAGTAGCCTAATCCAGGAGGAAATTGGCTGGTCGTCCGGCTATCTCTACTTGTCATAGTGTCTACTGATGTGGCAAACAGAAAGGGAGAGGGGAGAGGGAAATGGACAGATGGAGGAAGTGAGAGAGTAGAGGAGGTAGGAGAGGCGGATCACCTGCGTAGTGTTGGACGCCAGCATAAGCCTGTTGGAGAGGGTCGGTCACCGTTGGACTCTGTGCTGCAGAGAGACGAAAAGAGAGACAGAGAAAGGGGGGATGACAAAGAGGAAAATGAAAGCAGAGGAGACAAAGAGAGGACGGAGAGTGGTCAAGACAGGCACAGAGACAAAGAGGGATATAGAGAGAATGTTAAAGAGCGAGACACAAATTGGCTCAGCTGTAGAGAACCATCAGGGGGTAAGATCACACAGGGAGTGGGAGAAATTTGGGTTGTCATATCTCAGTTCTTCAAAATGCCTGTTCGCCCCAGATGTTTGCATCAAATATTAACAACATGCCAAACAAACCACTTTGTAGTTCATTACAATTGCAGCTGCCTTTGCATAATGCAGAAACGGGGGAGTGTGTGTCTGTCAATTCTTCAGGAATTGGTCCCAGACAACATTAAGAAGCCGAGGACGGGCTGAGACACATCAAATTAACCATAATGGACTGATGGATGAACTGATGGATTCATCATGATACTAGGGCTGGCTGCTCAGAAATCTGCCAAAGACACTGTTGATTGACCCTCAAGCCTTAAACACTTCAGTTCAAATCAGAAAAAGATGTAACCAGAGTGTGACGTAAAATAAGGACTCTTGTCAACTTTTTAACAGTACCATGAGATATAATTTAATTTGTCATGTTGAACTTGTATTGTGTCAATTAGGTGATTTTCTTATTCACATCAAGTGCAATAGTAGAATAATTCACATACCACATTTAGTACAAGCGGCTCAGTGTCAGGGTCAGAGCATCAGTCTCATGACAGCAGATGTTACAAATTTATCTCATGTTTCTTTTATGTAAACCCTGATTGGCTCACCTGGGTAAGGGTGAATACCATTGGTGTAGATGGGCTCAGAGGTGGGCTGCCCATTGCTTTGAGGCGGGAGGGCACTGAATCCGTTGACCCCGATAGGGGTGGCTATGCTGGGCACGGCTGTGGCAGAGATGCCCGGGGGTGTGCTGGTGCCTGCAAATAGATACAGAGTCATTACGGAAACTGCAGGGTGCACACTTCACATGCTACACACTCAAAAATAGAGGTACAAGAGAAGTGTATTTTTGTACATTTTTTCAAAAATGTATGAGTGTATAACAGGCACGTTATGGGCCCTCATGAGCGCAAATGTGTACCTTTTGACCCACCATGATGGTACAGTGTAGTTTGGTAAAAGTGGTACCAATTCAGACTGAGCTAATGGTACAGTTGCTAAAATCAGTCAAGGTTGCACACTGATTTAGGTGGGAGGGAGGTGGAGGGGAAAAGCACTCATCCACTACTGTAATAGAACACAACATAATAAAGGTAGCACTCTGATTTCTGAATATTTTCTCATTATTATAGCCTTGTTTAAATGTGTATTTCTGTCACTTTGGGTACATAACTGCACTTTTGAAGGTAAAAAAAGAAGTGGTGCAAAATTGACTCCAAAAAAAAGCCACCGTTAATGTACAGTGCATTGGATGTAGAGACCTATGCATCTTCTTCTAACTGCCTTTCCTCCTTGTGGTGATATCCCAAGTCTGTCACCTTGTCAGTGCCCTTTTGTGCTGATGGATTTTTATTATTTTTCTAATCCAGGTGAAGGGCATTTAAGTCATGTAGGATTATGTTTGATAGGCATTACCTGGTATATGTAGGCCTTGTGGATTACAAATGCCAGGTACAGCGTCAAGCCACTTTATTTAATACATTTGCAATGACCCTGCCTTCAGGCGCCTGCCTACTTAGTGTCGAGCCATCAAAGCTCTCCTCATGACAAGGGCCAAAAAGATAGTTCAGACTGGGGTCCAGGATTATCTCACACAAATCTTTGCTCTTATATTGTATAAGCCAAGGACTCTGCATCCAAAGTCATCGGATTGGCTGTGTTCCCAGAAAACACACACTGTCACAGAGACACAGAGGGAGAGAGCGACAGACAGACAGACAGAGAGCGAGAGGGAGATAATGAGAGAGAGGAGGAGAGAGGGAGACTATAATGTGGCTGCCAATGAGTGTCAAGGAATGCTGTACATCTTCTCCCATCACGCCTCCTTCAATGTAAGGCTCTGCTTCCTTTAATTCAACACAGGCATTGCCTACTTCAGCCCAGAAAATGGAGCCTACATCTTAAAAAATGTAACAAGGGCAAAAGCAGAAAGGCCTTGAATAATTATATATCTAGTGCTTCTATAATTCTTGCTAATGATGAAAATGTTCCAGGGCAGCAGTGAGAAATGGAGAGAAGCCCCGCATGTGTGTGTGTTTGCACGTGCCTCTGCTCTTGCACCCGAGTCAGTTAGTGCGTGCGTGTGCATGCGTGTGCCTATTAGCGTATACCTGAGGACGGTGTCATGGGAGTAGCCACCAGGCTGTTGACATTGAAAGCTGCCATTTGCTGCATTTGCGCGGCAGCGATGGCTGCCATGGGGTTCAGGTAGGACCCTTGTGTTGCTGCCATCAGGGCTGCTTGCTGTTGCATCATCTGCTGTAGGATTAAAGAGCAGTGGGGAGAGAGGCGAATGGCGGGAGGGATGGAGGGAAGGACAGAAAAGGAAAGGAGGGTGAAATAGCCGCAGGACCAGAGCATGTTTACTCTCACATCTCTGTTTGCTTGGCCCATGCCTTGTTCTTGAACAGAGTGGTCTGTGTTGCCCTGCAGCGCTGCTTCCCAGCTATACTGTAATACTGCTCTGGCCTTGTGCTCATTATACCAACACAAGATAAAGGCTGTGTGCTGAGATGAGTTTAGCAAGCTGGAGACTATGTATATCTATATGTACTGTATATGTATAACTCTGCGGCGGTGGCAGAGTTAGTGGAGAGATTGTGCGTGAGTGGGCGATTCTCACCTGTCAGGGTGAGTTGTTAGCTACTGTGTGAGTGCAAAATCTCACAGACTCCTAACTCAGGCTGTGACTTTCATGTGTAAATATGAAATGGGGGGTAGGCTGGCAGGGAAAGGGGTAGGGGGTGAGCGGGTGTTGGGTTCTCGGTAATGAAGCGCACCTCTGAGCGTAAAGGCATATGTGTTTTAGATGAAATGTTAAAGAGGCAAGCTTGGGTAGGCAGTTTAAATTCACAGACCAAGTCAAGGAAATGTGGGACTGGAAAGTGAATATGAAATGAATACTCACAACTGTATGAAAATAAAACACTGTAGTGCTGAGCATACATGATAAGCAGCTTCCCTGGACAAATGAAGGGATAAAAAAAGACACAATACAAAAGCAGTGCAGCATTTTCTGTAAAGCCTCTGAAAATGTGGACTCTAACAGCCATTTAATAGTGTGAATCACTTAAGGAGTTGTTTGCTGGGAGTGCCGCATGCCTGGTGGGAGAAATAGTAAGTTCAAACCTCAAATCACAACAGTTTTCATTTTCTTTTTTAAAGCTCACCGTCTCCTCCCCCGCCGGGCTGAGACTTACAGCATGAGAGTAGGCGCCATAGGCCCCAAACTGGATGGTCATGGGACTGAAGATGCCGAGCTGGCCCGCCATCTGGTGCATCCTGCGCAGGGTCCTCTCCTTATCAGTGTCTGCAAATTTGACCACCAGACTGGACGAGGCACCCTAGGGAGGCATGTATATTTACAAGGTTAATGAAAGATGCAACTATATAAGTTTTGTAGATAGTTTAGTTTTTCAGTTTCCAGTTTCATGTGTGTCTTCATAAAAAGTGTTTAACACTTTGCAGTGAATTATCATGCTTTCGGTGTCTGCGGGGAGATTAACAAAAGCAAATTAACACAAAACAAACAATCTGGAGAGAGAAAAATGGGTTGATTGGTCTGTTAAAGTTTCAATTAAGTAGCACAACTAATAATACCAACTTTTGCAACTACTGTAGTTACTTTCAATCAGCAGCATTTTGCAGATTGCACCTGCCACCAGCTGGCCAACCAGTTAATGAGCTGGTGTTGGTTAGCCATAACTGTCTGTGAACATCCTCAGACTGAATAAATAGTCATTCACAGGAAAAAACTGAAAGAGGATAAAAAGACAGTAACACATACTCTGAAACTACAGTAGTTTGAAAAGCTCATATGAATTTTGTAAAGCTAAAGGCAAACTGGCCAAAGTGATGCTGTTCTCATCAATACTGATGTCACCTACTGACATTGTCATTATTGCTCTGATTAACATGTGATACTTAACTGGAAGCGTGCAGATATGTGAACACATTGAACACAGTGTGGCCGGAACCTAAATATAGGCCATTTAGAAACAAGGTTGCCAAATGCATGCATTACATTTGCATCTTTTATTGTGTGGTTTAAAATAGTTTGGGCTTTCCCTCGGGTAATAACCTACAGCTAAATGTTGGCTTCATAATAAAAAGATGTAGTTCCACAGCTACTGGGTGTAGTAACTGCAAAGAACTTACACTGATACTTTTTGGTAACTGGGGATAGCTACCAATAGGTACCAGGGAAAACAAAAGGGCTATCATCTTCCTATTTTGGTTGCTCAATGGTTAACACACTTCTTTTGTGCGTAAATTGAGCCTTCATTTACCCCATGGCAGACAGATTAGCATAAAGCAAGGTGTAGTGGGAACCAATGTAAATGCCAGTGGTATCATGATTCTATAACCATTACATCATGCAATCACCATTCACTTCATAATGATAAGTTAAAGCAAATACTTCTCTCTGTCCACTTTAAAAACATGCGTAACAGCGAAGGCCAAACAGTGGCAAGCATGTCATTCATTTCTGTCATCTCTTGTCCAGCATAGAAAACATTCCAACCTTCAAGACTTAATATCTCTAAGCAGAGTAAGCCAGTGGACGTGAATGTGCACCTCTCAGTCATTTAGCTACCATGTTAGATGGAAGAGCTAGTGAGTGATATTTGCTTTTGTGAACTTTCCAGCTCCACTGTATACACTGAGAGTGAACTGTGATCCTAACCAGATCCCACAGGAGTCCCAGTTTCCCAGTGGTGAAGCTCCACTGAATACAGTACTAGGTAATTAGGTCTGACAAAAGCCTTCGGCATGTGGAGGGCGAAGTATTGACTAATGGCTCTGCCTTATGGCAGATATAGTTCCGTATTGATGTCCGTGCTCCTGAGTTTGCATCCAATTAAATCATTTGAGAGACAGAGACCAGAGTCAGTTCCTCATGTGACATCCAGGCAAGGAGAGAGGCGGGGAGAGTGTCTGTGCGTGAGTGAGAGACAGAGAGACAGATACAGAGAAAGAGAGGATGAGGAGGCTGCCAGGCAGAGAAAGCAGCCACAGACACAGTCAAGAGGACCAGGCTCCTATTTAATTACAGGCAATGCATGCTGGGAAAGAGCACGGAGCAACACCAGGACAGAAGGACACAGGCAGCCAGGGGGCAGTCAGGATATGATTAGTAAGATCATAAAAGCAAAGACATGGGGAGAAAAGGACTCCATAATCACAAGTTGGATTCATCTTTCACAAAATGTCTCATCCTGACAGGGTCAGTACAAATTCAGGCTTTGATTTAGATTTCCATATTTTCTTTGGGTTTAGAAATTGAAAATGTGAGTGCAGGGGACACAGTGACAGAGAGAGATGAGGCTGACCGATGTGACTGATGCTGCATACACCTGTTTTTATTTGTATAAGAAACCAAAATTGGCAAAGGTAGAACAAGCTGCTCTGTGCATCCAAGTTTAAGCTCGAGTGCTACTTACAGGAGGCACATTACTAAAGCGGAGCTATCCAAACAGAAAATCATAGAAACAAACAAATGTATGCCCTGTGAAGCTGAATATGGCAACTGCACAGTAAGAGTGTGTGTATTCAGCCACTAAACAAACACAATCCCACTCTTACTGTTGTGCAGCCTTACTTCATGCTATTTCATAGTAATTCATACAAAAACTGTGTCCTATTTTCGTAAGCGCTTCATGAAATTTTAAACAGGAACAGCTAAGTGATAGTGCCATTGAGAGGGCAGTTTGCCGGGGTGGTCTCGTGCTTTGTGGTTTGGTTAGTCATGGCTGCTGCGACAAACCTTACATAATATCTAGCCATATATTTACTCTGCCGAAATCTGATATTTTTACATTGCCCGAACATCAGCCTTGTTCTTTCCTCAGCTACTGTTTTTTGTTCTCATCTGTTTTTTTTGTAAGAAAGACAAATATGCATTTTCTAAATGCAAAAAAACCCAAACAAGTTCTTCTTCAGAGGTTTTGCAAGTAAGCTATTCAATGAACCCATGTGGAAAGTGTCCTACAAACATTCTATTAACGCAGCCAAGAGAATGTGTTGGCCGTAGATAACTGCAAGAAAGAGGCTGGGGAATGAAGGAAAGCATCAGCATGGACCCCAGGGACAGTGAGTCTCAGATGGGATCCTATCAGAGCCAACCAGCACCCCACCTCAGGCCAGAGGAGACCCATCTGGTGTTTCTCCCTCGATGCCATTTCAATTAGCTAAATCAATACTCCGACGTGGCGGCATTAACGGCACAGTTTTTCCCTTTCTAATTTCATTTCATCCCACCTCCTGACCTTTTTCAGTTCTTTCTCAACTTTGTGGGCCAGTTGAAGGGACTGGGCTGTTGGATTTAATGAGGCTGGCACTGAGCAAACATCTTCCTCCAGCGTTGTTGCTCAAGCCTGCCCACAGCATGGGGGCCTGGCATTTAGATCACATCCATTTTCTGCTTTGTGTATCTGTGTATTCTTACATTCATTTAAAACCTCATGAAGAATGCATTGTGAGCATCGGGACTGTGAAAGCCCGAGGCTGCCTGTACCCACTGCACCGTGACTCAAGATGAGGGGAGTCTGGCCTGGTCTGGCTTCTCCCAGCAGAGTGCTCTGCTGTAGACGACAGCGCGGGGAGGAGACCCAGTCTGCAATGTCTACACTGAACAGACTTGGCAACAGCATTAAAGCACTACAACAGCCTCTGCAGGTGTTGTCAGCAGTGCCACTCATGTCAGAGCCTAGCATTTCTGACTTTCATAGCATGAAAGCCAAAATATCCCCTCTAAAATAAAAAACAGAATTTTCTCTCATCCTCACGCCTAAGCAGGGGAATTTCATATCCTCACATCTCAAGCGGATGTATTCTGACTAGATCCAAAACCTAATCAGAAAAGGCAGATTTCAGAGTGTGATATCCCCCCCCCCCAATGGATCAAGAGTAAAGAAAGAAAGAGTAATATGTGGCCAGGTAATGAAGGAACAGGTGGCAGCAGACAACAGGCACTGGATGCAAAGCAGCCACTCCTCACCGGTAGCAGAAAATCACAAGCTGACAAACAAACAGAATAATAACCTCCACCGGCATGACTCCTATACCTGGAGAGAAAATGAATTCTCTGAATTTGATAAGGGCCAACAGGGAGCCTTCACTTTTGACAGGTACAACTAAGGAATTTGTCACGGGTTCAAAAACTAATCTAATTTCTTGAACAGCACACTTGACTTGTGAAAATCTCCCATATTGGATTTTGTATAGGCCGCAAAATGTGTAGATGGAAAAATACACAACGGTAATTGAGGGATTAGAACTCAACTACACCGGTGAAATGGCATTATGCTTTTATCTCTGCATTACTGTGATACAAAGACACTGGTGTTAAGTGTGTACTAACAGGTAAACAAACACTCATCTTCCATCCTCTGCAGAGGCTTACAGCAACATAATACACACAGACACACTCAATGAAGGGAAAACTGTCATTTCGAAAAGCATATTAATAATTAACAAGGAGTGTTCTGAAAACCCTCTTTCTCCCTCATTCAGCAAACATGTAACAGCTACTTTTAAATGACAAGTGAAACTTCCAAAATTGTCTCAGGTTTCTGCAGATGTATAGACTCTAAAAGTGTTAATCGAGAATCTGTTAGAAATTAATTGAATACACCATAACAAGTTTGTTTGGTAATTGGATGAGCCCCCGTGGGCTTCGTATTCAACTCTCTGAACCTTGCTACATCTCTGCTAGCCTCATGGGAGGACTGTCTCTCATTAGCACCGGATGATGCTGTCTTGGTCTGGCCTTGCTGTCCACCACATACTGCTGCTGCCGCCGAGCACACTGCACATCGAGCCAAAAGACACAGAAGAACAATACTGCCATTCATAATGGTATTTTCACTTGGTGTGTACACTGCATTTTGTAAATAACAGTTTCCGCCACAATATGTGAGAAACGCAAAAACACAAAGCTCTGTGTCGTGTGTCAGCTACAAGCCTGCTGACGTTCTACAATAGTTTCATGTGACATTTGATGAATCTTGTGTTACAATGACAATGCTTTCTGGCTTGGACTTATCGCTCATTAATCCGGAACTATAGTATCACACACATGCACGCTCTTGTTGCTGCCAACACCGGCGAGCTCCACAGGCCCTGTCAGCCACGCTGTGACACCGAACATGACAATGTCTGCAATTTGCTGGGTGCTGTCGGCCTGCCCCCGGCTCTGCCATTTGAAGTTTTGCCACCTGTGCCTCTGCAGCCTTACTGTAATTCAACAGATGAACCAGTGAGAGTGCCTGTTCTCTGCCCAATCACCTTTTAAGTTAATTTTGGAAGCACCTGCAATCTGCAATAAACATCAATTAAAGCTATGACCCGATCTATCAGCGCATGCCCTTCGGTGGCATCCCTTGCCCTTAAGCTTCATTAAAGCCTTTCATTTTGGGCCAGCGTATTTTGGTGCAGGTATTATTTATGGCATGTGTGCGTGTGCCAGGTAACACAGATGCTGTTGAGAGAACATTAAGAGGGAGAGAGAGACAGAGAGGGAGTGAGAGACAACTCTTTGTTCAAGGTTCATCCAGACCTCACAGCTGGCAGCAGGCAGTGAGCAGAGCAGCCCACTCTCTGAATCCTGCCTCCTGTTAGTCTGTTGTTGACGACATGTGGCAGTGATATTATCCAAATTAACTGCATCCCCCATCGGTACCAAAGCCTCAGTTGGATACTAATGGCCACCTTGCCTATTAATCTGAGAGAAAGTTGGATTTGGGGAGAGGAGGATAACAGGTGCAGGGATAGACGGAGAGAGATATGGATAATATAGATTATTAATGAACTTTTGGATGGCTCTTGATCTGCCCCAGGTCTGTTTGGGGCTCCATATGTTGCCTTGGACAGTTCATCTGCAGCAGACCTACGGTGGCTCAGTGGCCCAATCTAATGCAACTGTTCCTGAGCTACATCAACACAAAGAAAGTGCGCAAAAGTAGTCCACACGAGCCAAGTTTTGATCCGTAAAAGAAAGCAAAAACCAGCAAAGGAGTCCAATTATGTAAATCTTCCGAATGTAAACATATTCTGTTGATTGAGTCAACAAGATATTTTGAGTACAAGGTAAATATCTTGATTACAATTAAATTTCAGTAAGAGGCCTGTCATAATTGTGCACGATCAGTGTGAAACATGATTATTCTTTGGCTCGTGGCCCACTGCTTATTAAATTTTGACCCTTGCGGTTTACACGCCAAAAAGTTTGGTCTTTACTGAGCACCACAACCACACGCAAAGTTAAACCCACTCTACCACTTATTTCCCTCCCTCACTACTTCAATGTAATGCAAAATGAGGCAGCATCAAAAAGATGTGTAAATTACATCTGGCTTCCAGGACACTATCTGGCTGCCAGGAAGCGCCCGTAAATATTTATTGCGGAACATCAGTGAAGTGTGTGAAGGTGCGGATGTCTGCCAGAAAGAGTGTGTGCTCATGTGTGTGTCCAGCTGTGCAGCACTCAACACACACCAAGCACTGGCAGGGAGATGCTTTGTAATTCATCATTTCTTTTACTTAAGCCCTTTTGGTGGCCTTGTTCAAGCCTGACAGAAGTATATCCAATTCGTAATTAACTGTAGCTTGACAAGAGTTACAGGTTTGGTGGCCTCATTCTTCAACTTAACAAATAAACATCAACTAATGCTATTTCGTGCAGCTCATGCGTACTGTGTATCAAACACCATTTACTCCACAGTTCATTGTATACTTAGCTAAACTATGTCACAATGCACATTTACATCAGCATTGATTGTGTGGTGCAGTACAGTCCACTGACCACAGTGATTGTGGCATCATTCTCTTGCATTGCATGTGAGGTCTTCTCCTCTCATTACATGCCAACATGTTGTGTGATTGGTCAGTGTGTGTTGTCACAATACCTGTGTTTGTGTCCTAAGTCAGTTGGACTGAGCGGCGATACAATCACTATTAAAGCGTATTCCTCAACATATCAAGATGAATACCCCAGCCTTGGGTAGATGATACCCAGGTTATGAAGAATAAATGTATTAGGCTAGAAGTTAATGGGAGGCTGATAAACTGCAAGTGTCCCACAATATTATGAAGGACTTAATGCTGAAATGTCAGGAAGCAGTTAAGGAAGCAAAAGCGGCTTATTAATCTGACCTCATTTTGAAGATCCATCCTAACTCTAGGGTGCTTTTCAATATTATTGACTTACTTGTTAACCTCCCTTCTAGTCACTGTAATGAAGCCTCCCTTGATAAGTGGTTTCAAGTGTTTAAAGTGTTTAATATTCTTTAACAAAAAGTAGACCCCTGACAGGGGCCAAACTGTCACTGTTAATGCAATGCGATGAGCTGTTTTAAAGTCAATTCTCCCATGTTGCCGGAGGATGCAGTAACTTGTATGAAGTCCTTTACCTGTCCCCATCCATATTCAAAGATATTCAGCCTGTGTGTTATCTATTATCTATGGCACTCTTTAGTTTTTTAAACATGCAGTTGGTCTCAGAGAAAGTTTTACTTGCTTTTCCTCCTTCTTAGAAAATCTTTACAACAATATCCACCCTTCATCTTTTTCCTCAGTTAAATTGAGACAATCCAGTCTAATTTTTTAACATTTACTGTATTCATGCATGAATCTACTTGGATATATCAAAAGCAAACAAAAAAGTTTTACTATTATGCTGATGACACACATTTATATGTAGGTGTACAGAATTTGAACACTACCTGTCTCACCTGTCATAAAAATTGCCTAGACAGCATACAAAGTGTCAAAAGTTAATTACACCAATTCTGAAATAATCTTTTTTTGGCCTACTACCTCAATTAAATTCCTTCACCATGAAGATGACACACTGTCTCCCGATGTAAAGCCACTAATTTCACACTAATTTTAATTTTCAGGAACAGGTTAAGAGAGCTGTTCAAATTATTAACTTTTGACAGCGTACTATTTCCCCATGAAAAGAGAAGTATTGTAATCTATAAGTAATAAGAAAATAGTTGTCCGTGCTTCAGTTTGTTTTTCTTAAACTCAAAAAGTTTTGTCTAGCACGTCTCCCTCTTCCACAACATCATCCAGTTTTACACTTTTACAATGAGCTGTCATTGTCAGAGGTGAATTTTCCTCAGCTGTATCACTTATATCAAAGACATTTTATCTCATGTTGCATCCAGAGTTCTTGTAGCAGCTTGCCTTAAGCTTATTCACAGTCTGCTTAAAGTTGAGAGCTAGATTTGTACTTTTGTAATTCTTTTATTCATATGTCTTATTACCTCCACCAAGGAGGTTATGTTTTCGCCGGCGTTGGTCTGTTTGTTTGTCTGCAAACTAACTCAAAAAGTTATGAACGGATTTTGATGAAATTTTCAGGAAAGGTGGATAATGGGACAAGGAACAGATGATAAAGCTTTAGTGGTGATCGGTTGAAGCAAAGTGGATAAAATAATAAATAAAGTCTATCGTCTGACAGCCTCAGCAGCAATTCCAATTTCTAGAGATGGTGAAAATAGCGCCATCTGGTGTCCGGAAAGCACATCTTGTTCTACTTGCTAAATATTGTTGTAATTCTAAAGTTGAAATGAATGTTCTGTGTTGGAAAAAAAGAAAGTGAAAAATACAAAAAAAACATATTCTGTGTTCGTACAAAATAAAAACGAAATAAATACACCACAGTGTCTCCATGGTGAAGGCATATATAACCTAATAATGATAGTGATGCAAATAACCTAATTGTGATGCAGACTGCAAAATCTGATGCGGGGGGTATCACCTACTTGGCGGGGGTCTGCACTCTCCGAGTGCTTTTCTGGTTTTGCTTTTGTTTCTCTTTCTGGTATTTTCTCTCTAGTTGGTGGACCAATCCAGGACTAAAATACCAGTGAATGCTGAATTATAGCCAGAAAAGTTCTTCATTGGGATTCTCTGGTCTGGGCATGTAAGTAGGGCAATTGTTAGCTACCACATTAGCTATGATAACCTGAAAAGCTTAAGGCTCTTTGTGAGTTTGTTTTTGGGTCTTACTATACTCCTACTATAATCTAAAATCTTGTATAGCATTTTATATGGCATGTAACAATGAAAATGAACCAAAGAACAAACTCCCACCTACAGTATCATACTTGAACTGTACAGTATATACGTAGGTCTTTCATTTCTATGTCCATCATTCCACAACTTCAGTTTCAACTTTATACATAACTGACATTTTATTTGTATATACAGTACAATGTCACCTGAGGACACATTGGAGGATTCATGTGCAATGCACAGTAATCATATCTTTATAAGAGTGTGAATGTAAACACTCTCTATCAGTCTGCTGAAAAGGTAGTCTGAATAGCTGGAGAAGGAAATGGATATTGAGTGAAAAGACAGATACAGAGTATGCAGCTGTGCACTGTAAGGTGGCGGATGCTGACAGTGGGAATCTTGTGTGCGATAACACACAGCGAGGATGTGTGTGAGTCTGTGGACTGTTGATGTGCTTTGAAAAGATTCACTGTGGTGACTGTATATATATATATTCACGTATATATGGACTTACTACGTGGTAGAAGAGAGCAGATGAAGAAATAGATACACAGACTGATAATAGGAATTCTGGTTTCTTTTGTGTGCATGCTTTAGTCTTAAATGTATGAGATATTTTCCAGACGCATAAAAAAGACATTCAGTATTGAATTTTTAAAAGGGGCATGCACCCTCCAGTGGGTGTATGCATATGGAATAGAAAACTTTAAAGCAAGGCTTGGTCAGGGTCTGTCTCTTGGAAAGGCAGAAAAACAGAATCCAAAAACTCCACCGATCTTTGTTGTAAACTTTATCCCGGTCTATCTCAAACATTTCATAGAATCGGAACCACAGGCAAAACAGCTGGCATAAGTGACATCATATCTCTTGCAAAACTTTCTCTTTGTCTGTCCACATCAACAGTAAAAGCAATTGTTTGCAACTGCATTGCAATAAACTTGACACTTAATTCTGTTGTAACATTTGTTATGAGCATTTTACTTACAGGCATAGTCTGTCCACCATGCAAGCTGTTTATGGCGGCCTGCGCTTCTGCGTGGCTGGAGAACTTGACAAAGGCGCAGCCTGTATACACAGAAAACGAGAGAAATAGAAAGGAGGGGCACAACATCAGGGAGATGGCCTTGAATATGGGGGAAAAACACCATTCATTACCATTGTTTTCATGTTATCTGGTTTGTAAATATATTCTGCCATTTGTGTGTTCAGCGCATAACTCTGAATAAATCAGTCTAATTGTAGTGAAGGCATTAGCTGCGTGGAACATCCTGTCCCTCGCCCATTTCTAATTCCACCCCCTCCACTTCAGAGTGTAGAGCCAAGGCATTTACTATCCTGACTTGTTTGTGATTATTAATCTGTTTAATATTTACACATTGTGATTTGTGTGCAGTCACTCATAAAAGAGATTATGATGACAAAGGCATAGTATTATAATCTGCCTATCTAACCGAATCTTTGCTTGCATGTAATTTCGGATGGTAGGGGGGTGTGGGGGGGCTTTGCTCAAGGGGCATTCAAATCATCTTAAATCTGTTGTGTAGTTAATGCACAAAAGGAAAAGTCAACATAAAAAGTTGGCCGGAAGACAAGGGAACGGGTGTTGGCAGCGGTGTTCTGGAGCCTCATTGCATTAACATTTCAAATGATGTTAAAAATGATTCAAGTAGATAATAATAATAATGCACAATATGTTTTTTGGAAGGTTACATATCCTAACTACATGATTAATTAGTGTATCAGTGTGTAGGTAAGGACAGGCACTGAACTACTACAACATAAAGAGAAGTGAAATACAGTGGAACTGAAATGTGGTAATTTTCCAAAAGCCATTAAATTAAACAGGAGCTATTTCTCTAAGCTTTATGGTTGTCATAGACTGCACAAGGTATTCTGTTATGTCCTATTCTTATCCTTGCCTTCAGGTAGCTCATGTGTTAAGTCAAGAGATACCTAATTAACAAACTCGTGGATTAATTCTGCCCCCTTTTCATTAATCGAGCAGCACCAGTGTCTTAGAACCAGACAGGCTCTTCCGGAGTTCAATCCCTGGGTTCTTTACATCTGCTGATACCTATTTAAAACGGTTATATACGTTCATATACATTTATCCACTCTACTGTCCCAAAGGAGTCATGATGATTCATTTAAATTACAAACACTGATAGGTAGGCTCAGGGGATGTTTTGTATCTGGCAGTGACCCATTCACTTATGCATCTCAGGAGTCAGCTTTGCTTCCCAGGCAAACAAATTAATAATTTCCTGACAAAATCAAGAAGATTGAACTGAAGGACATGCAGTATGTGCACAATCAATGGAAGACAATTTCCACCTTTACCTGAGGCTTTCCATCCACATTCCAGACACACAGTTGAAACTGTTGTGTGCGGAAATGTTATGAATAGTAAAGGCCATGTGTTTCCTGTACGGTCCAATGTTCTCAAAGCTGTATAGATCTACAGAGGCGCACAGATAAGTCAAAAAAGCCTTTGATTCTGTCACAGCACTCTAGCACCCTTTTACTTCACTTGAACGCCCCTCCGGGTAGAGGCAGGAAAGGTCTTCATTTGTCCAACTGAAATGCATCAGCCTACTGTGTGCCATTTGACTGCAAGTCTGTCTCTGAAGGAACAAACGCATTTAACCTTTGTAGTTGAAATAATAAGGGGCAGTTTGCTCGTGCAAAAGCCTTTTGGTTTTGTGAGGCAAGATAACTTGCTGTTGGTTCCCTAACAAGGCTATCAGATATTGCGCCAGAATCCCAGTGACCTCAGCAGCTCAGCCCAACCAGAAAGACGCTCAAAACCGCAGGGCTTGGCGAACGCCATCAATGGCAAAGTCATGTCAAACATACAATGTCCTCAGATTTCTCCACCAAAAAGCCAATGCTGTAGCCTTGCTTTTCCTGACCTAGAAAAAAAAAAGTTAAGGGACACAGAGCACAACATCTCAAAAGAATTGGAAGTGCTACAGCCTCATAAATTATAGTGCACATTTGAGTTTTTGAATTTGATGGCTCAGAATGAGTTGGGGGAAAAGGAAAAAGAGAGATTGTATTGCTTTCAAGCGAGAGGATCTGCACTGCCTTTTGAATTCCCGGGGTAATAATATGTATGCATGAATTCCATCCCGCTGGATGGGTGACATTTATAACACAACTTAATTATAGACCTAAAAGCCATCTCTCTATTTTTCCTGACAATTCAGGGCTCTATTCAACTCTGGCAGCAAGTGTTGCACTTTGAAAGTACTTTGAGGAGCAGAGCCATAGAGAGATGGATGTTAAACTTCTCGGCCTTTTTATTGGGTGAAGAGGGGTGCTGAAAAGCTTCTGAGTAGCATAAATTTACATCAACAGGGGACAAAGCCTCCATCATGGAACAGATAGCACTGTCAATTTCAAGGTCTGTCTCATTCAAATTACGGGAACCTCATCCCAAGCGAGGCGGCTGGCAAAATAATTTGCCGTAACATCCCGTAATGATTGCGTGGGACTGTTGCACAGTGAGTGATAGGACCAGATACCTATATATGAGACCTTTGTCTGGTGGTAGCATACATAGTTAACGTTGCTCTATGGTCTTCCATTTCATAGCAATGAGAACTTGAAGAAAAGGCAATGATCAAGCCGGTGATAATAAAGACAAATACCAACACAGGGGACGTATGGCATGTGAAGAGAGGAGAAGGAAAAAGAGATGAGGTGGGGGGTGCAAGAGGGTGAAAAGGAGTGAAAGTGAGAATGAGGGAGAAAACTAGCTCCTGTCTGACACGGCAGCACCGGCCTTATTTCATTTTATGTGCTGTCAATCAGCTTGAGGCATCTGAGCAGGCAGGAAGAGAGGGAGCCAGAGAGGGAGACAGAGACAGTGAAAGAGGAAACAAGCCAGGGAGAAAGAAAGGTAGTGGGCCGGTGGGGCGACGCAGAGCAATAGACCCGGGATTAACAGTGAGAGGAACAGATGTAGACACAGATAGGTGTGTGGTTTGGTATAGCCAGCCTTTCTCTTTGATATACTCAGAAGACTTGCGCATTATCAACCCCTCTCCCTTTCCTTCCCACACGTCCTTTTCACACATCCAGGTGCTTCATATAGGAGAATAAATCACAGTCAACAAAGAGAAAGGAAGGTAGAGGTTCCGAGCAATATCACCGGCGTTATCGCTCCAAATACGGCTGTGAGACAGAGACCCATCAAAGGATGATGGGGAGGGGGGGCTCTCGCTCTCTCAGAACAATCCCACCTGCATCGCACATTTCACAGCCATCTTTAATTTGACCACGCTCTACTAACTAAATAGCACATAAGCCACAGACATGAATGCATAAGCTGTTCCTGAATGCTGGCAAATCTGCCGCACAGTGAGTGACAGCAGCAAAACCCAGAGCCTGGCTGCTTTATTTACAGTAGGACATTATCGTCCAATGGGGTCTCTGGGGAGGGATGACGGGAATGTGGGAAACAAACATGATTACACCCCTCCACTTTTCAGATAACAGGAAGAGAGGGAGGGAAGGAGGGAGGAGGAGGGGTGAGCTGAAAGACGAGGTGTTGTGTGATGGATTTGTTGAGTACAAGCCCAGGGTGAGAGGAACTGCCGGGATGAAGAGACAACATGAGACGAAGTTCGGGAGGGAAAGAAAAAAGGAGAGAGGAAGGAGAGGTAGAGTGAGAACAAAAAAGGAAAGGGAAATACAGAGAGTAGTGAGAAAAGGAAAGTGGGAAGGGAGGAGGTGTCGGAGCACAGTGACAATGAGGTATGAAAGAAACGCAAGCGAGACACATAAGAGGTGGTGAAAAAACAGAATAGCTGAAGGGGAGGATGAGTTATTCAGAAGTGTATAGTGGATCGCAGACGATGTCAATGAGTGCACAGCAGGTGAAGCGTGGTTCTATAAATGTGAGGAGCAGAAAGAGAAAGAGAGACAGCACACGAACATACAGACAGACGGGATTAAAAGGAGGAACAGACAGGGAAAAACAAAAGAGTGGGAGGTGTGTGGGCTCTGACCCTTACTGGCCCCATCAGGCCCTCGCAGGACGGTGCACTCCTCGATCTGGCCGAAGGTCTCGAAGAGCCGCCGGACGTCATCCTCGCTCTGCTGCTTGCCGAGCATTCCCACAAACAGCTTCCTGTCTTCTGGATAGGAAGAGAGGAAGGGGGAGGAAGAGGGGCAGGGAAAGGAGGCAGGGTGGAAGAGAGGAAAGAACAGACAAATGCTACAGCTGATGGCACCGTTCTGCTGAGCTGAGAGGAACTTGTGCAACTCAAACCCCCCCTTTTATCAGCAGTCTGCTGTGTTGAGCCTATGCTGCTGCTGCTGCTGCTGCTGCTGCTGCTGCTGCTGCTGCTGCTGCTGCGGCGGCGGCTGTTGTTGTTGTTGTTGTTGTTGATCCTACTGTTGTGTGGTGTGCCACCCCACCCTGGTATGAGGGAGATATATTCCTGTTTCCAGTGAGCTATTCAAGTCTGCCACGGTGACGTTTGATACAGATGATGTTTGGAGCTCTGTGGGTTTCAGGTAAAGGTAGAAAGAGAGCGGGAATATTTTGCACAGGTAGACAAACTCTTAGATCGTCTGGATGCTTAAGTCACTGAGTTGAAAGAGAACATGGAACAAGAACATGGTATTACACTTTCTCATCACCAAAGGAGTAGGAATTATAATAAGCAAGAGTAAACTCTGCAGCACAATCCATCCCGTTATAAACTCGGAAAAAGTAAGAAAACTAAGCGTGCACTGGTTTCCCATTCAAGACTATACTCTCATCCGCTCCACTTTCCGCTGTCTATAATATGTCCAATATGTTGTATGGAGACAAACTTAAGGCTCTCACATTTCCTCAATGTGAATGCCCATAGGACACTTGCATTCAAGGAACAAATGCTTTGGAAAAGGAGTCAAGTGGAATTAAAAAATTAACACGATTCTGCGCACTGCCCAGTGTTGGCCGCCCAGAAATAACAGATGAAGCTTTTCAGTGTAAAGTTGTTTGTGGATAATTATCAGCCAAAGGTTTGCAGATTTGTCATTTTTCAACTCCAGCAAATACAAAGTGAAATTAAGCGTGACTCTAATTCGCAATTCAAAGAATGAATTTGTCTTCCTACTATTTTGTGCACACACTGCATAATTCTGTATAAATGTATACAAGTTATAACTATGACCGTGACCTATTGCTTTCACAGCCCACTGAAGGAGGAGGGTGTTTGCAGAAAGCATTGCAAAACATTTTAACTATGAAAGCCAAAAGGTCTAGTTCTCGTGCCTTGAAACAAACAAAAAATTGCAAAGCATTGCAGCAGGTAGTTTTTATTGTGATATAGGAACTTCTCACAATATATTTCTGTTGAACCTGTGGTTTAATTAGCAAGTTTTCTGTCCACTATGATGAGTAGGTTCCCTTATTTTTTGTGCCAACAATAGAAAAATGTTGCCAAGATGTTTGTGAGATGCTTGGAGCAGATCTATTCTTTAATGGTCATATATTGGTGACTAATTCTGTACAATAAGGTGTGTGAACTTAAAAAGCAATGTTAGGTATAAATCATGGAAATAGCAGGGCTACATTCTGTCCGTCAAACTGACATCTGTTGTAAACTTTATCAGTAGGAAAAGGTCATGGGCAAAGTTCCTTTTGTACAGTCTAAATGTTAGCAGAGTCTGGTGTGATTTAACATTAAGTACTGATTTTTCCAAATTTCCCAACTGATATTAAACTGAAGTGAAATTTGCAGTGTTGTTCCTCATTACCGTTGAAGGGCAGCTCCACCCACACCAATGTCTTCCTTCCCGCTACATGTCAAAGTTGGTTCCTGAGCTCCAGACGGGGGCACTCTGGCTCAGATGTATGGGCTCTATACCACTACACTTTGGCCAGCCAGAAAGCTGGATTTTTCTAATTAATCTTCCCAGTGCCCTGGCATTAGACAGTGCATTCATCTTCTTTACATCTTTTACATTATGCATCCCCTATTCCGCTGTGTTGTGGAATGAAATGGCTACTAGCAAGAACCCATCGCCAGAACTGATGGAAAGTGGCAGGAAGAGGAAGAAGAGTTTATTGGAAATGACACTGTTGATCTTCAGTGTGAGTCATTTGACTGGTAGGGAGCGGGCGAGGAGCGGAGGGCGAGAGCATCACCTGGGCCTCGACAGATGTGACGCCTCCTGTACCTGCCAGGCCCCATTAGACGCAGCTGTTCTAAAAATAAAGCACCAGGGCTTCCTTTTTGCAGCGGGGAAATCGGATCCTGTTCCATTCCTGTAAAGTTCAAATGAGACACGTGCCTGCTACCCGCTTGGCCACACAAATGAGCACCTGCATAATCAATAAGGCCATGCTGCCTGGTCTCTACTGCCGGTGTTGTAGCTGTGGTGTCAGTCCATGTTCCTGTAGTCACGCCTCACACAGCAGGGATTCTCAAACCCGCCAGCTGAGCCTGGTACTACTGCTCATTACTGTCCCTCCTCCCTTGGAGCTCCAGGGTTGGAAGTGAGCGAGAACAGAGGAGATAACCACAGAGACAGCCACTTATGATGTTGACTAGGATTTAGCAAAGACCGACAGGCGGACAGACATGTTGCTGGATATTGGGCATCAGCGGAGGAGCTGCGTAGCTGTAAAGTCAGCCTTGAACAGGTGTTGGGGAGAAATGAGCTTGACCCCTGTCCATGGCAGCAAAGGTGAAACATGAAATGAGGCAACAGTCTGTCTAGAGAACACATGACTTTGCCTCCATTGTCCCTCCATCTTTCAGATTTTCACTGAGGTGTCACTGTTACAACTTAAACGGGCAGAGTGCAGTTTTACAGGCCTCCTGCAGTGTGTTAATGTTTTGGGACAAAAGTCTCATCTCGGTCCTGGCCCGAGGAGATCTAATGGCAGCTTTACAAGGCTAATTAACAAGCCATGAGCGAAGTAATGAACTTTCCAAATGTGCTGGCAAACGCAAAAATAAATTACACCCCAGTGAAGGCATTAAAGGAAGTGCGAGTGTACTTGGGAGCCTTCCTTTGGGAGAGCCACAGTGAGAAAATGAATTTGGAGCTGCTATCTTTTCATTGCCTGACCTAAGAGTGTCTCAGTCGGCCCACTGCATGCCCTGGCCAGAGTATAGATTGCTATTAATTAGTCCACTTTGCACCTGTCTCCAAAGCAGCTCTTATTGGATTTTGCATGTTCTCGCTCATCTCCTATGGCCACTCGCAAGCTTTAAATTGGCATTTTATGAATATGAATAAATATCTTGTAATGCACCCTTTGCACAAGGAGATGACTCCATGACTCCAAAGAGTTATCTATTAAAAGTGGGGAGAAGAGGGAAAAAAAGAATACTTTTCTCAAGCACAGTCGTGTATTTGCATTAAGAGGGGTGAGGACCTTCCTATGGAACTGTCTGAGGATACAGAAGTGTGACAGAACTCATTGAGCTGACTGTTTGACCTCTTGGTACTTATCTCTCATTGAGAGGGGCTCATCTTATCCCTCTAACAGAGCTGAGCCACACAGCTGGAGAACATTTGAGCTCTACAGCACTCTGCTCTACTCTGAAGAGACCTTTGTAATCTGCACTTTCAAACGTTGTCGCTACTTTAAAATAATAATGTGTGTGTGCCTGCGTGTGTGTGTGGTAGTTATAAAGGCTGGCTACATCGTTTTGATGTTTTCTGTATTATTGTGTCCTCAAACACCACTAATTAATCCTGGAACATTTCTACTGTATACATTAAAATATAATGAGTGGATCCACGGATATAGAGGCTAAAAATGGACTTGTGTGTATGGAGAAAGATATTTTTATTTTATATACAGTATATGTATGTGTATACAGCAGAGGTGTGACCACGTTGTTTTGCAAGTCACAAGTAAGTCTCAAGTCTTTCCAGTCAAGTCCCAAGTAGAGCTTAGATCGGGCCCAAAAAATCCAGCCCGACCCCACCCGAGCCCGTGCATGTTCTGTCCAAGCCCGGCCCAGCCCGTCCCTTTAACTGTAATTACGAGCCCGAGCCCGGTTTAAACCCGACATTTTTTTAAGGATACGAACATGGACATTGAAGGCTGACTCAAGTCTTTCTTTCAAGTGTCGAGGTCCCTGTCTTTTTGCTGTCATATACCAGCATCGCGCTGCACTTGGTACACTCGACGAAGCCGATACACACGTTGTCACTGTCAACAACTCACATGTGCGTGGCCACTGGCGGCCACTGGGGGATTGCAGGGCTCACTCCCTCACCCCTCCCGTCGGGTAAATGACGGTGGCCTCGTAGGGACAAAAAGCCTTGCGCACGACTTTTTCAGGAGTAGGTCTATCTAGCGACGAGGTGAATGTTTATTTGGAAATCTAAGCCATGTTGTAATGAATCCCTCACGAGCAGGAGACCAGAGGAGAGTTCAGGAAAAAGGCCAGTTTATTTGAGCACTCCAGAAACTCCGGTAACACTCCACTCCGTCCCAAACTCTGACTCTTCTAGCGTAACAGACACACTTCATAACTTTACACACATACTCATTTACCATTCTGAGTGGGGACCCCCCTCCCCTCTATGCTCTGCCAATCTCCAGCCCGCACACTCACTGACAGCGTAGCTGGTAACAGTGCTCAGCTGTTTTTTTAGCCTAGCAATATCTCTGGACTATAGTCACTGCAATGGACTACTTTGAACGCGATTTTGAAGAGTTTGTTGTAGCGGACACAGACCCAGAGCCATACCTGTTTGAGCCGGAGCACACAGATGAGGAACTCCATGTGTTTGATGCTGAGCGGGTGAGAAGAGAGGCTGAATGCACAGAATGGGATTCAGTGCTACTGCTACCATCGTTGGGGAGATATATCATCAGGAGGGAAAGCGCCGCAGAGAGTGCATCACAAGGAGTGAAGTTGCGTCTTCTTTTCCTCGCAGATGACGGTTCGGGTTCATTCTCTCCTGTTGCGTGGTAAGTGTGGTCCATTCGCAAACTTTATAACTAAAAAAACTTTTCACTACTCTCTATCTACGAACTACTAACACTCTCTGCTGTTTCTTCCTCCTTCTTCCTTCCTTCCGCTGTCTTCGTTGGTTTATTTATACACGCGAAACGCGTTCTCTGGCTGGCTGGATTGTCCGCTCGGTCTGCCGTACATACATGGTGGCGCAA